ACCCACTGAGCCGCTCAGGTGCCCCGATCCTGCACAGTTTTTTGTTTTTGTTTTTTTTTTTTTTTTCTTTTGAGGAAGGCAGGAGAGGGAAGGATGTGACCACAGGAGTGTTTGGGGTGCCACTTCACAAAAGTATGTAAGTTCAAGTTGTCCTCATGTTGGCAAAAAAAAACATGCTTTCACAAAAGTGCCAGGCTGACCGTTATGACAGTAGCCATTCTGAGAACCGGTGTGACTAAAATCACACGTCTGTTACTTTTTGCCATGGTGCCTCAATTCTGTGAGATGCCTGTTGGATGTCAGATTTCTGGGGACCCCCGAAGTTCCAGTTAAGTAAGTCTGGTGTGGAACCTGGGAATCTGCATTGTTAGTCCGCACCGGAATTTCAGACACCAGAAAGCTGGGCTCTGTCCCTTGAGACACACAGGCCAAGGCAAGATCTCTACTGCTCTCACTTCAAGAGATACCATGTAGAATCTTAGTGAAAAACTATGCCTTTAGTTTAAATTTCTCAGATAATACTATTAAGGGGTTGGGGGGAATGTCCTTTAGTTGGAATCATGTGGGAGGCCGTGAACATAGCCCCTTGTTTGAACAAATCCAGCACCCTGCCACTTACTAGGTGAATGGATGTTAAAGAATGTAAGAAAGAGATCAATCAACCAATTTCTCACTCAGTCTTAACTCTTGGCCCCCGATAAATGATTCTTTCTTCAAAGCTTTATAAGTCTCAGAGTTTGCATAAGGCTTTCTTTCATAATGTTCTCTATGTCTGTCAACTTTCATGTTGAGAGTACAGTGTTGAATTCTACAAAGGTTCAAATCTGATGGGACCAAAATCCGATTTCCACGCGTTGGTGCCATCTTCACCACAAGTCGGGGAGCTGCAAAGTTAACCCCTGTGTCAAACAACCTAAGAATGGAGGTTTTCTCCCCAAGTCAAGTTTTTGGAAGGTGTTAAACATGGCACCTGCCTTTCAGGTTCCTTTGACTTTCTCTGGCAATCCGCACTTGGACAATAGAGCTGACGTAGCTTTGCTCTGTCCTCTAGGAGGCTGAGCTTTGAAGACGTGTCATTCCCGCTGTCTGCTATCCGCCGGGCATAGTAAAGTGTCCAACAAGCAGATGAGCCCAGTGGCATCTGCTGTGGTGTTAAGCAGAGGGAAATGTGTTTGGAGTGTCATTTACTCACCCGGCTGGACAGGGAGGGACCCTGCCCGGGGTTAGGCGGACAGCCACACATACCTGACACTGGATGGATGAGATGGACAGCAGTTTATGAGTCCCTTATCCTCACTTGGGGAGGGGGATGCTGCAAGTCATGCAGGGTCACATGGGGTTGCCCTCGGGAGCACGTGAAGAAGCAGGGGCTGCAGTTCTAAGGGTGGCGAGAGGACAGAGGGCCCTGGTTCCCCAGGGAGGATGTGACTGGCTCATCTGAGTGATTCTGTGTGCCAGCAGGGACCTGAAACTCAGTACTCAGGGCTGAGTGGGGACGGTGGCTTGTGTTTAGCTAGAGGGCCATATCCATGGAGCAGAGCGCTGAGAGCTTGTACCTTGGCCATTCCAGGTCCTCCTGATTTTACCAGATATGAAGTCAGCACGGAATATTGAGTCTTAATCTTAGATCTTATACCCCAGTTTAGTCCATGGTGCCTTGACATCAATTTAAATCTTAGTGACGATTGAGACTTACAGGGTAGAGGAGGGCCTCCCTAAATAGCAAAACAGGCACTTGCCCAGGAGAGAATGTGGTGTGGCACTGGGGGAGTGAGTGCCTGACCCCCAAGGGCGTGAATTCAGACAACCAATGCTTATGGCAATAGTGACCCCAGGCTAAGGCTCTGTTTGCACTTTGTAACTAAAACAGGAATTCTGTGAGGGGCCCATTATACCTTTTGAGGTAGCCTGTTGCCTACAGAGTAAATGGAAGTTCCATCCAATGGCTCCTTTTAGAGCCAGGCATTGTGCATTCTGAGAAGTGAAATGAATATCTTGGTCCCTATCCAGTAGGGACTCTCTATCCCCTGGTCTGGAACTCCAAGGGGATAGAGAGTGTTCTAGAAAGGCCTTATATTTGTGTTCTTACTAGAGGTAGAGACATTTGTTACCTTGATTTATATTCTGTTCATCTGTGAGGCAAGAGATTCCCAGGGTTCTTTACTTCAGATTGGGCAAGTCTTCAGCAATGGTTCAAGAGTTTGTAAATAATAATATTAATAGTAGTAGTAGTAGCAGTAGTAGTAATAATAATAATGATAATATTAATGATAATACTGATGGGACAATTTGTTGGCCAGGGCATGTAGCACTGAGATGACAGCCTGAAGTCTGGCCAACTGTGCTGACTCTTGAATCCCGTCTGTTATCAGGGACATCCTGAAAGGGCTGAAAAGCACAGATCTCCATGAGCTCCATCATGTCTGGTGGTGGCCATCTCATCTGTAGTGTCTACAGTCTCCCACAGCTATTTGCTCAGTTGGTCTGAAGGGGGCCCCGCAGGTAACCCAGGCATCTGGGAAGAGTGACCTCTTCTAGCACCATGGCATCTGGCAAGAGACTGAGGAGAGTGAGGGACTCCCCCTCCCATGAGTGGAATATGCCCGAGGGTCCAAGTCTGACTCCACTCAATAGCAAGGCCACAGAAGCCATGTCAAGCTTGTAGGGTGCTGCTTCCATGACCCAAGGCAGAATGGGCAGCAGCGCCTGGAGCCTCACAGGTACAGGGTCAGTGAGAGCCTCTATTTCCAGAAGAGCCCAGCCTGCAGCCAGCAATCTCTGCTCTAATGGTATATAGAGAGAAGGGCCTAGGAGGGCGGTTTCTTGCATCAGAAGCCTATGGACAGTTTAGGACTATCATGGTGGTCCAGAGACTTTGGGAGAAATACGAGGAAGGAGGTTGAAACCCTGACAGTGAAGGGGTTGCTGAGAATGCTCACTGTAGACTTTTGTTGGAGGGAGCCAAATTCATGGTGGACCCATTTGCAAGTAACCGTGGCAATGGGAGTAAGTGAAGTGTGTAAATGGGGAATGGGTTGTCTCTAGAATTCCAAAAGAACTAAAAGATGTTGGACTTATATTAATGTGTAGGTACTCAGAGGCCCCATAACTCTTTAATGGCCTTGTCAGAAATGAAGCAGCCCTTAGTTTACCGGAAAAGTCTTAGGAAATGAACCAAGTGGTACACTGCCCTGGGGGGCAATGTCCTGATCCCTTTCTGTGAGCTCTTTTACAAATATTTATATGGTTTGGATGACTGCGTCACATGGATGTCCTCAGAGGAAGATGTGAACCTGTGAACCTGGAGAAGGGTGGGTGTAGATAAGATCTTGCCTGCAAAGTCCGTGTGCTAGGACAAAGCTGTTAGGAACCCCATGGGTATCCTGGTCACCACACACTGGGTGCCTTTGCAGACCAAGGTACACTGCAGCTGAGAGGCTGCTCAAGTAGACACTAGACAGAACATATCAGCCAAAACTGTAATAGCCAGGTATTTACTAGTGGCTGATGGGATAGAGTCAGTAATGTCAATAACACTGGGCATGGGGTGTAGGGCTTTCATGGATGGGACCATGGCAGTAAGGTTGCAGTAATGCACTTTGTGGTGCCATTCATTTTCCTCCGAGTTTAAGACAAGGCCGCATTCAGCTGTTAAATGAGAAGCAGGAGATAATCAGCCTTTCACTCTTCAGGTCTTATATAATAAGTTTTGATCTTTGGAGGTCCTGTTTTTTTTTTTTTTTTTTTTTAAGATTTTATTTATTTGACAGAGATCACAAGTAGGCAGAGAGGCAGGCGGGAGTGGGGGAAGCAGGCTCCCTGCTGAGCAGAGAGCCCTATTTGGGGCTTGATCCTAGGACCCTGGGATCATGACCTGAGCCAAAGGCAGAGGCTTTAACCCACTGAGCCACCCAGGCACCCCTGGAGGTCCAGTTTAATTTACATTGGGCCATAGTAGTTATTTGAACTGAGAAGTCTATGGGGTCCCATTTTGTCAAGTTAACTAACTGGGAAGATTTAATATGAATTCATGGGGTCAGAGCAGCCATGCCCCCATGAGATGTTCTAAGACAGCATGTGCTGTGACCCTGGGAAATTGAGGCCACATGGTAGTCCTCATGGTCAGGGTATGGCATTCCTGTCCTCTGTTTTACCTTCAGGAGCTTTCCTACCATGATGGGGGGTACACCATGGTGACATTTAGTGGCATCTCCAGGTGTAACTGTAATTTGAACCCTGGTGCTGATAAAGTCCATGAGGGTTTGCCAATTCAGATATTTCGGCAGATATTAAAGCTAATTCAAAACCTACATGCACACCTGCAATGGGCGGGAGGGCAGAGGGAGAGAGAATCTCCAGCAGACCCCAAGCTTGGTGGGGAGCCTGATGTGGGGCTCTATCTCACCACCCCGAGATCATGACCTGAGCTGAAATCAAGAGTTGGATGCTCAACCAGTGGAGCCACCCACCCAGCCCTGTTTCATCTATTGCCTGTGTAAATTATTGTAGTAAACGTTGGATTTGCCATTGGGTCACACTGTGGACCTCTGTTTTCAGTTCTTTTTTTTCCTTTTATCTCCTCCCCAGTATCCAGGTTTCTTTCCATCTTGCCTTCATGTCCCCTCCTCTTTTCTTTTTGCGTCACTGGATAAACTCTGGGTGCAAGTAGGAGGGGGAACCCTCTGCTTCCTCCTCCACAGACTCAAATCAGTACCATGGGGGTTGGGGTCTGCCAAAGCTGCCTGCCACAGGGCAGTGGTGGCTTTCTTATAGTTTTGGAACCCCGGGCTTGCGTCAGGCTCCAACCAACTCCTCGTCATGTGGCTGCGGGACCGTGGGTGGGTTACCCCTGTAACTGAGGGTTAGGATCTTCACTGCAGACAGGCAGAGGTAGCCCACGGGCCCAGCGGGGAATTGGCTAAAATGGGTTTGCTACAGCCCTGCCTTTTCTTCATTTCTTTTATGCTTTCTCTACAGATTCCCTTGGAATATTTTTATTTCTACTTGCATAAAGCCCCAGCATTCACTTTCTGGCCATTCATGGTGCAGACTTTCTGGGGGCTTATAGGGATGGGCTGGGGAGGCTGATGGCCCACCTCATAGGGAGCTATCTCTTCCTCCAAGGAATGCCAGTCAGTCTGCTTGGGGTCAGGGTCCACCTCCAGGAAGATCCCATCGCTGAGGGGTCGGGTGGGTTCTGGCAGGCCGGCCATCCAGAATTGGTCCTTCTGCACACTGTAAGCAGCTGCACTAAGCCCAGACACACTGGCTGGAGCCGTGGCATGGGGACAACAGCCACGTGCCAAATGCTCCTTCCCCGTTTCCCCCAGTTCCTAGGCCACGGGCTGCCATGGTCACGTATCCTGATGCCCTTGGGGGTTGGGAGAGCACATGTGCCGGCAGCAAGGGAAGCCACAGTGTAGGATACAGCAGGGTCACCATTTGTGCCCAAACAGCCACAAGCAGGGCGCCATGTTTCACTCACCCTGGGATGGTGATCTCAGGGCTTTCTGCAAAACTCCCAAAGTGCTATCCCCACACCCATACTGGCCGTGTACGATCACGGTGCCAGTGCGGCTGTCCCCAGGTATCCACCAGGCTGGACACAGCTGCCAGAGAGCTCTAGCCCAGCTTGTGATAGCTGGGACTTAAGTAGTGACCAGCCAGGGCGCTTCGAGCTGGAATTCTCCAAGCTCGCCTGCCAAACATCAGCAGACCCCAACAACACATCATACTGGGGGACAGACTGTGAACAATGGTTTGCACCTTGAGGATGAGGACATTTTAGCTGGGAAGAGAGGACAGATGCCACAGTACCTGGGCCGTGCTATTCCTGATGTCAGTTGTCACACCACCTCCCATTCACCCAGCTGGTGAGGGAAGGACCCTGCCCCGGGGTTAGGTGGACGGCCATATATACCTGACACTGGGCAGATGAGATGGACGGCAGTTTATGAGTCCTATATCCTCACCTGGGGGAGGGGACACTGCAAGCCATGCAGGGTCACATGGGGTTGCCCTTGGGAGCACGTGAACAAGCAGGGGCTGCAGGTTGTAAGGGTGGCGAGAGGATGGAGGGCCCTGGTTCCCCAGCAGGGATGTGACTGGCTCAGCTGAGTAATTCTGTGTGCTGGCAGGGACCTGAAACTCAGTACTCAGGGCTGAGTGGGGACGGTGGCTGGTGCCCTCCCAGGCAGTGGGGTGTAGCTGAGGGTCCTTACTCATGGCTGCAGAGAGGCAGAAACCTGAGGCCTTCCTGATTTCACCAGATGTCCAAGCAGCACATAATACTGAGTCCTCGTGGTAGACCTTACACCGCAGACTGTGTTCCTTATCAAGCCTGAGTCTTTTTCCCTCCGCTGCTGAAGAATGCGATCCCATTACTTTGAACTGCCCAACAGAGTCTGTGGGGAACATCAGGTAAGACTCATTTCATTTATATTTTCACCCTTGGCTTCTTGCTGATCCATCTAGAATTTTTTAGAAATTCTCTGCCAGAGCTTTGAAAAAAAAGAAGAGGATTTTTAGGTAATAAAATAAGTCTGGAAATGATCTTTAAACAGCCCAGTGACAGAGTACATGCACACAACTTCTGTTACTCCCAGTAACTATGGTAGCTTTAATCCATTCTTCAAAAAAAGCATTTGTCTGTAGGCTAAACACAGACTAGCAATGTCAATGAATGAAGGAGCAGAGCCTGCTTTTTTTCAGATGGAGTTGGTATGCTGTGAATGGGAAGCTTTTTTTTATTTTATTTAATTAATTAATTTATTAATTTATTTAAAAGATTTTATTTATTTATTTGACAGACAGAGATCACAAGTAGGCAGAGAGGCAGGCAGAGAGAGAGGAGGTAGTAGGCTCCCTGCTGAGCAGAGAGCCCGATGCTGGGCTTGATCCCAGGACCCTGGGATCATGACCTGAGCTGAAGGCAGAGGTTTTAACCCACTGAGCCACCCAGGTGCCCCAGGAAGCTTTTTTTAAGCCACAACAAAACTGGATAGTCTAATAACATTTTTGTAATGTTTTTATAAAACTTTACCTTTTTTCAGGAACACTTTATTTATTTTGGGGGGGGGGGGTCTTTTCCCACAACGCCAAATCCAGGGATTGTTTTCTGATTATAAAAGAATGTTTGTTATTTTAAACTTCAGATAGGACAGAAGTGTATCCCCCCAAATTGAGATTTGCCTGTCATTCCATTTTTTACTTTTGAGGTACATCCTTCTAGAAGCTTCCTTGGGTCACCGTGTGGTTCAGTTACTTCTGGTACTGTCCAGCCCGTTGCTTTCCACTCTTTCAAAGCTCATTGGCAAAATTGCACAATGCTTCACAGCAGCTGAACTATATTTAGAGTATCAAATGTCTCAAAAAGCATGTCTTACCTCAAAATGGGCTAGTTTGGTCCTACCCGTTCCATAACACCAAGATGATTTTTAGCGAGACAAATTAAAAGTTCTGTTTAGGCTTGCTTGTCAAATGTCAGTCTGTCATAAATCTTAATAGTGATGCTCTTGGGTAGTCAGATCACTTTTGGAAAAAACAAAATTATACTGTATTTGATAGAATGGCCAATTTTAATTGTACACAGCTCTCTTGAAAGTTGTCAGTGATGCTGCTTTTAATTTTGGATTGGAGTTCTTGGGTCACCTACTATGAACATCATATTCTTATTTAGTCATCCTTAGTGTTTTCCTTGAAATTGCGATATAATGATTGAGTTTGCTGCCGACTAAATTTAAACAATTGTAGTAAATCCAAAGTATGAAATTTTCTCTTTTCGCATTCCTCAATTTGTTTAACCAAGTCTTGCTCCTCGCATGTTTTGTAACATGATATAGACTCAAGGAAGAGGCAAGAATGCTACATGGTTTGTTTAGCCTGCTTTTAGGGATTTTCCAAAACCAGTTAAGGTTACGTATGGAATATACCTTAGGACACTGTTGAGAAGCTGTTTAATTTTAAGTGATAGTTCTAGCTATAAGAAGTAAAGACTCTCCTAAAAGATGAAAATAGATCTATCAATGAATAAAAGGGGTAGAAACCTATTTGAGATTTTTTTTTCAGTTCTGTTGTAAAAGAAACCGTCATATTCCTAAGAAAAGGAGGACTGTACCTAGCTAATTCAGTTCGTTATTTCTTTGTATAATCTATAGGATTTGTTCTAACTGCTAGATATCCAGAGGATTCTTTGAAACCAACTTGGCAGTGAGAACAAAGAAGACTTACTAGGGGAGACACGTTTAAAAAAACAAACAAACAAAACCCCCACAGTCCATTTTCTAGAGCTCTGACATTAAAAGCAAGCCAAAAATACGTTCTTCAGAATATGTAACATTTGGTGTGTGAGTGCTTTTTATCATTTGAAAACTAAAATCTACCCCTTTGAATGAAGCAGACAGAAAATAATGCGGTTTCCTGGTGCGCAAAGTCAAAGTCTAACCTCACACACAAAATTTTATAAAGAATCCTTTACTTTTAGGAACTTAAAATCCATACCCCATCTGCTAGAGCCTGTCCTACTTCTGCAGTTTATTATAAGTGGCATTTGTTGAGTGGATGTTCTGAGACCAAACCTGGACTGGGTGTTCTTGGGTGTAAGAAAAAGCAGGAGGGGGGTCAGGGGGTGAGAGAAGACCCCCACAGAGCTTACAGACTCATTGGAGAGGCAAGGCACCCAGCATGAGATTCTAGGTGTGGAGATGGTTCACAGAGCTTAAAAACGTTCATGGAACTTGCAGCTGGGTGGCTTGGTCGGTTAAGTGTTGACTCTTGATCTCAGCTCAGGTCTTGATCTCTGGGTTGTGAGTTCAATCCTCATGCTGGGCTCCATGCTCAGCATGGAACCTTCTTAGAGGGAAAAAAAAAAAGAAAAGAAAATGTCTGCGGAACTTTATGTTCAAGAAAACACTTTCCACAACTTTAGCCAACAATGAAGTTTCAGTTATGTGGACTACATACACAAACATCAGGCAAATGAGAATAAGGCAAAATTTCTTCCAGTCTGTGGCCAACAATCTGTGCCAAGAGGAAACTGGAGTAATAATAAAAATAATAAATATCAGGTTGCTAACTCAGAGTTAGAGGTTATAGAAAGAATGACATTCTCTTCTATTTATTTATTTGGTTTCACCAAACAAAAAGTTTTATCTTTTAAGTTTTAAAAACTACATGAAAGTACTGGGTTCATTTAGTTGTGACAAAAGTATTGTACTAATGAAAGGTGTTTAATAATAAAGGAATATGGGGTAGAGGGTATATAGGAACTCTTTATACCATTTTCTCAAGTTATCTGTAAGTCTAAAACTATTCTAAAATTAAAATGTATTTTATCTCATTTAACGTTTTATTTAGAGAGAGTATGTGCAGGTGGGGGGAGGGGCAGAAGGGAAGAGAGAGAGCATCACAAGCAGACTCCTTGCTGAGCGTGGAGCCAGATGCGGGGCTCAATCCCACGACCCCAAGACCTTAGCTCAAATCAAGAGTCAGGAGCTTAAGCAACTGATTCACTAGGCATCCGTAGAGTAAAAATGTATTTTAAAAACCACACTAAGTAAAATTTAGAATCTAGAAAAATGCAAAACCTCATTCACAATTCCACTACTGTATTATAACCATTTTTTTTTGTCAATTGGATGTATTCCTTCATACGTTTTTTTCATGTGAATGATTATAAAAACTGTTTGTAAATATATCTTGTTTTTGTCATGTGATGTTATTTCACAGACTTTATCCAGCTTGCTACATGGCTGTGCCATCAGTTTGAACGGCTGTGTGGTATTACTGTCTCTGACATGAAAGTGATTCTGGGATGCGTGAGGGCAGGACGGAAGCATCCCTGCTATCAGCAGTGGTACCTGTCAGCGCTCTGAGGAGAGAGCCACTCACAAGTACTTTGCCTGGATTGAAGTATTAGAAGATCCTAGGTGAGGGGCGCCTGGGTGGCTCAGTCAGTTAAGCGTCTGCATTCACTCAGGTCATGATCTCAGAGTCCTGGGATCAAGCCCCTGCATCAGGCTCCCTGCTCATTGGGGAAGCCTGCTTCTCTCTCTCTCTGCTGCTCCCCCTGCTTGTGCTCTCTCTCTCTCCCTCTCTGTCAAATAAATAAATAAAATCTTAAAAAAAAAAAAAAAAAGAAGAAGAAGATCCTAGGGGATAAGACTGAAGGATGAGTTGGAGCCCAGGCCCCAGAGCTTGAATGCCAGACACAGGTGGATGGAAGGTATTGGGTGTGGGGAGTCATGGCCCAGTGACCATATCCGGGAGCCC